CAACAGATAAAATACAGTACCTTCTATATATATATATATGTAGCACACAGTGATATGGCATTGCAACAGAACTAAAAAATGTGAGTCATTCTTTAATTTTGTCAAATATTGAATGGTGAATGCAAAAAACACAATCTACTATAGTTATGATTCATATTTTTAATGGATGGTAATATAGATGTCGCTCAAAAATAAGAAGATAAATGTTTAAATTTATGACATAGCAATAAATTCCGATAATACAATCAAACAGATATGACGAAGACACAATAATTTCATCAAACTACTAGAAAAACAAGATTAAATGTCTTTTTTTGAATTTCCGATGATTTGCTCTAGTTTCTTTTATACTGAAGATATAAGAGGTTATGGTACGACCCTAGGGAATGTACTGAGTTCAGGGTACCCATATACTGAGAAAGTCACACCAGGGTACCTATTAAGGGTACTTTGAAAATTGTGAGTAAGTATACTAGCGTAGGTACCTTATTGGGTACCCTTATGAGTATATCTACTGGACAAGTACTTCTTTGGGTACTTGATTCAGTAAATTTACTGATGAAATTCTAACCAGGTACCCCGGTCGTTGGCATTTGAACGATGCATTGTGTAAAAAAACACATTAGTGCACTTCAGGAAAAGCTATATTGTATGAGTAGGAAATGATCTTATTGTCTTCTCATTAATATTTTTTGGATACTTTTCAATTTCAAATGATAAATATATTAATCGAGGTAATGAATATGAAATAATGGCGATTGGTCCATTGTTTGTCTACGAAGAAAGCTGGCGCGTGTAGACAAGGAATGAACGACCGTTTGGTTTATATAGTTTTTTTTATGAAAGCAGCATGAGACTTGGAGCTTTGGAAAAGAAACTTAATTTAGAAATGTTGTATTACATAAACACAGACATTTATTGTATTTGTTCCAAAAAGTCTGTCTACGATTTATTTTTGTTTTCACTGAAATTAAATAACAAGATTCAAAAAATTATGAATTTCAGTAATTTAGTGTTCATGAGTTCATTCTCTGTTTTTAACGATAGTTTGTTTTTAGTACCATTGAACTAATAGGTGTATTTTATTTTATTTTTAATTCTGAAATTCGTTTTAGATGTCTCGTATTTTCTTTGCTAAAAGTGATACTGAACGAAAGCGGGAAAAACGTGCTGCAAAGCGAGACACAATTATCGCTGCTGCCGTTGAAAGTAGTAGTAGTGATACTTCTGACGACGAAATGAACTTGCCTATGTCTGATCCATCATTACAAAATGATTATCGAGATTTCAATGATTTAATAAAATTAAATAAAATAGCTTCGCAACAAGAAAATAATAGTGCTACTAACCTTTCATCATCTAGTGAAGAAGATGATGCTGATCTGGACGAATTAATTCGAGCAACCGATGTAAGTTATCAATGTAAAGTTTATGCTAATAGTTTCTTATCAATACATGATGCATGTGAACTCATTATTAAATTGTCTCGCCGATTAAATTTAGACAAAAATAAAGCGAAAATCTTATTACATGGTATACGTTTATTACTGCCAAACGACAACAAATTGCCACGAACACTGGAGGGATTATTGAAAGTGCTTGGTTAGTAGAATTTTATTTTATTTCACAGAAATAATTCACTTATATTTCGTTTAGGTATAAACAATAATAAAAAAGTGGTCTATCATTGTACAGAATGCCTCACTTACTTAAATACACCTCAAGAAACAAAATGCTCATCGGACTGTCAACTAAATAATAAATATCGTTCATTTTCGAACGTTAGTGAATTAACCATCAATGATGTTAAAAGCGAGATTAGTAGTACCATCGAAAGATATGCCAATGTTATTCTTGATTATCGAAATCGATCAAACTTATTATTACCATGCGATGTACCAAATGCTCATATTTACCAAACTATATCTTCAACAACATCAATAAAAAGTAGCCAAAATCAAGTAACAGTAATGCTTCATACTGATGGTGCGCCTGTTACTAAATTTCGTGGTAAATCTTTATGGCCGATTCAAGCGACGTTATGTGAAATTCCACCGCCACTTAGAGATCATAAACAAGCTATTATGATATTTGGAGCGTGGCTTAGTACACGTCATCCTGATAGAAATTTGTTATGGACAAGTATTGTGAAACAAATTCAACAACTTTTCGGTGACGAAATCACTGTTACGATTAATCGATGTCAAGTTAAGTTTATTGTTCGTACACAACTAATAACATTTGATCTACCAGCACTCGCTTTAAACTGCAATATAATACAATATAACGGATATAATGCTTGTCCATTTTGCAAAATACCAGGTCGATCACTTGATAAACAAGTATTTTATCCACACTCCTCCACTTCATATCCTGTTAAATCAATCGATGACTATCGACGATATGGAGTGTCAAACTCGTCGTACATTACAACTCTTGGTATTAAAGGCCCAACGCCGTTAACAGATATATTGTTACTTCCAATTCAAATTGCCGTTGACTACATGCATTTAGTGTGCAGTGGTCATATGAAAACTTTAATCGGCTATTGGCACAAAATGTTGTTACCACGTGTGTTTATAGAAGCATCAGATTATTTAATGTCCATCACCTTACCACATTGCTTTAATCATCAATTTATGCCATTGGTGGATTACAATAATTGGAAAACAAAATATTACAGGTAAGTATTCGCTTTTTCTGATTTATTGTCCATGATTGGTAATTTTCAATTTTAGAGATTTTCTTCTATATGTTTCACCTATTTTTTGTATTTTATTTTTACCAGACAAATATGCATTACATTTTTTACATTATTTTATATATGTTCGTATACTTTATCATTATCAAAGCATGTCAGAACTCGACAACATTGATTTATTGTTTGATGAATATTACAAAAATTTATCGACATTATATGGTCCAAAGTCAGAATTATTTACTGTGCATTTACATTCTCATCTGAAAGAACAGGTAGTTCGTCATGGTGCTTTATCGATGACATCATGCTTCGCTCGCGAATCATATTTGGGGCTAGCATTAACTATGTGTCATGGGAAAATGTATATTCTTGAACAATATATTTCGTGGCATTTGATTGATCGTTCTTTATATGAGAAGAACACCATCGATGTAAATGATATTTTTATCAATGAAAAATTTAACGAGCGTTATTTGAATATGCAATTGATTACAAAATACAAAACGACATTAACGGAATGTTTAATAGAACAAAAATTTGCATTCGATCAAACTTTAGAAATTCAGTATTATACTCGATATTATCGTGGTTTTAAAACTTTTCATTCAATGGTATATTCTCGTACGGGAAAAGCAATTAGCTATCAAGTATCTCTTGTTAATCCCAAATGCACACAAATTAAAAAAAAATGTTTTGCGGATGTCATACTTTATTTCAAATTATGCAATGTGTATTATGCTTTTGTGAAACAATATCCATGTATTAATGCTAGTGTGGGAATAGGATTAACAACAGTTGCTATTCCACAAAATGTTGTTGAACGACTCGACTGTTATTATGGTTTATTCAATGTCAAGAAATATTCTTATAAAATAGTTCCAGTAGGTGATATCTTGAACAAAGTAATCAAGATGGGTTGGAGTGAACAGAACATCTTTGTATTCACTGATGTTGTTGTTGATTGGGAGCATGATTAATTTGAAATTTGTTTAATTTTAGTAGGATAGCTTTAACATCTATTTGATTAAGTTTTATATCATATAATATAGGGTATGTTGAAACGAAAGGTACGTAATCTTCAAAGACAGGATCATGCGTAATATTCGATGTCTTCGATGATTCATTCTGGTGTTGTGTCTATAATCTTTTCTCGTTTTAGATATTTAAATAATTACCTAGTGATTTCGTCATGCTTCGTTGTTCATCTCGTACGACTGCAGGCATGAGCAGTCGATATTCATGCAAAGAATATGTTCTTGCATCATTTATGAAAGGAAAAAAACATGCGGTGATACCAGTAATGGCAATTAATATCAATCCAATGAACATGGATAAAGCTGAAATAAAGATTTGTGGTGATACAACGCCACTAACTATAGTTTCAAAAGGTTTTCTATTTTGATATTTTTTTATGAATTACTTTTTCTAAACTATATTATTTAAGGTACAAAGGCACAAATGAATATGGATAAAACGAAATTTGCTCGTGAAACAGGTAGCGAAGAAGTTGACTTGGGTAACTTTTTTGACGATGATGAAAAAGAAGAAAAAGAAAATCAAGAACAAAAACAAAAACAAAAACAAGACGACTTCGACTTTTCAACATCACACGTAAGACCATCACCATCATCAGAAAGATCAACCATTGAAAAAGAAAGTTCAAAAAATAAACCATCCGAAAGTTATTGTTCATCTCGATCTAGTATCAATTATACAACACATGGTAAGTCATTAATTTGCGTTAAAATTTTACACTGAATGTACCTAATTATACATACGATTGTCTTTTAGATTTCGATACAGTATTCAATTCACCATCAACATCGAGAAAAAATCAACACGAATCAGATAGTTCAATCGATTCAAGTGGTGATGATATTGATGAAGATGAACGTAAGTTCACAATAACAGCAGTCAAACTATATTGGTTTTGCCTTTTAGCACCACCTGTTGTAAATAAAAAATCAACAGATACAAATGATAGTAGTGAAATGCTTCATAAATTGTTAAATCGAAAAAAACCACCAGCCAAAAAAAGACCAAAAATAACAACAACTAATAATGGTAATAATGAAAAAAATTAATCATTCACTAAGTTATACATTTTAGATTTAACCATTGTTGAATGTACAGGATGTAGAGATTTACGCGAACAAATAAATAAAATAACAAAACGTGTGGAACGTGTTGAACGAGTTATTCCAGCAGTAAAACAATATTATTATCAAAAGAAAGTTAGTAAAGATTATCGACTTACTCATATTTACATAGTAATTCGATTATTTTGTAGGTCGGCTTAGGGACAAGTACTATAACAACAACATCATTGCCGAATATTGAACAAATCAATCAATCAATTAAAGTAAGATGATTGTCTACCAAGTATCACGACTAAATATTAACTCGTATAATACACATTGAATAAAAGTTCGTTAAGTTAAATATGTGAGATATAAATATACGTGAAATAATATAGGTTAGAAATTAAAAAAATATTTATCGATTTATTTTTTCTTAATTTAAAGAAGATGAATAATCAATTCATCAATAACCATTTGAGCTTCGAATAGGCTTTTATTTGCGAGTCTTACAACTAAAATAAAAAAGAAGTTGCTTTTCGACTGACATAAACTTAATTCACTTTAGTCGCAGTTATAACTAATCTATCTACTTTTGTAACATTTATTGATTAAAAACACATTACAGCTAATCTTGTGTTCAGATTAGGAAAAGTTCGATGTGGAAATTATATGACATCTAGTCAACTTTCAGTTATTTTTTTTTCAATAAAAATGTTTATTTACATCTTCATGGTTTTCAGAGTTTTTTAAAGTATAAATTGCTCGCATCACTGGTTATACTCAACTGACATCCTTATTTTCATAAATAAATAATCGACATCTAAGTTTTTCAAGCTAGAACATAGTCAAGGAATTGTTATTCAAATTGATAAAAAATAGCATGTATTATTGTTACAGAGTTGTAATATATTTTATCTTTTCTCTTTATTTTGAGACTATTCATTATTATATCATTAATTTATTTAGGATATTTTCGGTGTTGAAGCAAGCGAAGTTAAGGGTCCACGTGAGCGACCGACCATAATTATTCGGAATTTATTTACAATTTCAAATCATGTAACTGATTACCGTGAATATTTAGAAACAAATTCTGCTCTTTTAAGAGGTAAATAAATATATCTTGCAAAACAATACAACATTCCTATTATGTTTAGATTTTATACAATATCGCTGTCCAGGTATTATAAATATGGATCAAACTTGGTACGAGATAGTGAAATCAATGGCATCTTTACAGAATGACATTAAAAAGAACTCAAAAACAAAATTAGCTCGTCAACTGATAAATGCTCCCAATGATAAAGCTGTGAGTTGATTCTTTATATTTGTTTTTGTTATCTTTTCTGATGTTTATTAAAAACAGTTCCTCTTTTATTGTTGTATTTGATATTTTATTGTTATTTGATATCGTATCATTTGATTTTCTTTTATTTACTCGAGGGAAGACTTAGTTAGAATTTTGCATGAGACAGCAACAACGTTATGATTAAGGTCTATAACTTTCTTTATCGTTTATCTGATCCTCATGTATTGTAAATTTTTGATTTTTATGTTAATGTATCGTTTAATAATACTAATGATGCCATTTTTCTAATTTTGTTTTATTCAATAAATGTTTTTTTTTCGCAACTATAACAAATGTTTGTTTTACATTTGAGTGACATGGTAAATCAAATAATAACTTGGTTATTATGTCGTCGCATTGGATTTTTTTCTATAATCATTAAAATAGTGAGTGCAATGATTTTTTTAAAATATAAATTGAAATGTAAAAAGCATCGTCGCATTCATATTGTCGAGAAGTATATATGAAAAAAACGAAATATGAAAAACGGTGAAGATAAGGCTCGATCCCCCGTATACTGGGGTACTTTCAATAAACACCTAGAAAAACTGTGCATCGGTACCAGATTGAGTACCTGATCAGAACCATAGAGTACCCATTTACTGATGAATTCGTAGCGAGGTACCCATCAAAGTACCACAAAGGTACCTAAAAGTACTTGTAAGTACTCCAGTACCATAAAGTTCCTAGGACATACTAGTAGCAGGGTACTTTTTCGGGTACCCTTTGTTCAGTACATGCCCTAGGGGAGGCACTGCATTTGTCCGTCCTTCGCGGCACTCACAACAAATATGACACCTTATATGTATAAAGAGTCTCATCGTGTCTATTATGAGTGAGCATCATTACTTACGTATATAGTGGCAGTACTTTGTATGAGTCATGTCGTTTGTACTTTCATTACATGCACTAAATCATACCTATGAAACAGACATGTAATGTTTTTTTTTTGTTTATTTTCATATGAACATATTACTTTCAGCAAGATATCAACAAAAATCATCCGTTTGAGAAAAAACGAACTCTAAATTTATGTACAGCAATATTCAAAAATAATTTGCATTCGTAAATTGTAATACTACTTTTTCGGACTTAATCTTTGTTTATTTTTGCTGTTTTTCATACGGTTGGATAGCCCACGAAACATACTTAGTGTGGATGTGTTTTGATTTATTTTCAGTCTACCTTCAAAACAAAAAAATAAAGAGTATATACGTGTCAACTGAAACTAACAAAAACCATTACATTTTTAAAAAAATTGTTTCTGATGTTTTTTTTTCTATTTTTATCATCTAGACATGTTCAAAAAACAAGTTCAATTAAATATTCTCCATATGAACGTTAGTTTTAGCAAACTTTTCAACCTCAAATACAGATTTCATTTTTTTAACGAGCTTTTACTCATTACTATTTTCGATCTCAAGTTTGATCTATTTCTAGCTTCACACTAGAACAATTTAATTGATGTCTAACTTTTAATATTATGATTATAATTTCTCACATCATCTTCTAGTTTTTCCGATCACTAATATCACCTTCCTGCAAGATTATCATGTAATAATGTAATTTGTTTTTGTCACTTTCAACTGAAGCGCTTATGCCCTTTATTTTTCTTTTGAAGATGGACTGAAAATACATCCACACGTAGTATTATAATTTACGAGTGCAAGCTTTTATAGGTACAGCTGTAAATCGATGAACTTACGTCATCTAGAAGTAGTGAAATAATAGTAGAAAATATTTGACCATCAGTTCTGCCTATTTAGATTTAGTTACAAGTCAATGCTTAGTGATGAATGATAGTCATATCCATCACCACCAAAAGTCAATCGAAAAGCTTGAACGACTTTAAAAATGAAAATCTTTAAAAGAAACACGTTATTTTCTTTAGTAGTGATGTCTCAGAAAAATTGATCTAATATCCTTAAATCTCATCATAAATCAATAAACTATAATGCATTAGAAAGTAAATAGCAATACTTTATCTCACGAACTATAAATCATAAGACTAATCAATTAGACAAACATTGGCTTTTCCGAAGACGAGGGGAATCTCCTAAAAATAAAATAAAACAAAATAAAGATCACAGAACAATGAAATTGTGTACACTTTCATGTGCTTGAAAATAAGAGAAGCGTGAATTGAAAACAATTTCTTTCGTTTTCTTTTTCTTATTCGAAAAATGTGTCAAAAGGAAGTACAGTAAAAGTTTATGCAGCACAAACGAAATATTTTTATTCAACTTTTTCTTGTATATAGCAAACAATCGGACCAATGAATACATCTATTCAAATATATAGAGAAAGATATTTATGAAAATCAATTTTTAAATTAATCAACGTACTTGTATACATTTTAGAAAACTTGTAAATAACCAGAAATTATTGTTAAACAATGAACGATAAAACTCTCGATCGAACTGAAAGCATTTCTTGTTTCGCTGATTTTTCATCTCAAACACAAGGAATTTTTGTACCTATTCAAGGATTTAAAAAATTACTATTGGTATCCCTCAAAGAAACCAGGCAACCTCTTATATCTTTAATACTTAACGTTCTTCAAATGATTTCAATCATAGAACAAAATTATACTGAATTTGAAAGTAATTTATCGAGGAATTCGGATGGATTTAAGTAATGAATATCCTCAAGGAAAAGAATTTATTTGGTGGCCTTTTACATCTTGTACATCATCATTAAATATTATTAACAAATATATTGATCAAAATGTAGCAAGAACTATGTTTAATATTGTATGTCATTCAACTAAAGATATAAGTCAATATTCATCTTATAAAGAAGAAGAAGTTTTATGTTATCTTGCTCGACAATTTATAGTTAAATCATGTTTGCATGCAAAAAATCAATTGTACATTATTTATATTGAAGAAATTCAACTTGAATAGCCTCTTTTCCATATTCCACAACCGTTAAATTGTTCAACAGACGAATTGAAATTAATTAACAGCCCATGTGATTCTAACCGGAAAAAAAACGACGGTATACCGCTGGTAGACCGTTCAGTATAATCTGCGCTCTACCGGCGGTTTGCTGGTAGTTGCAAAAAAACCGGAGGTATACCGGCACCATCAGGGTACGAATCTACTGATCCGCAGTCTTACGAATCTAAGAATAAATGTAAATTATCATAGGCCGCAAATCGGTTTAGTGAATCTATTTAATAAAAAATCCTCTTATTCTTTTATTTAGATATCGAAAATTTTTCTTTTGAGCGAAATTGAACTGTTTCCGAGAAGAATTTAAATAACTTTTACACTTCACTCAAAAACAACTTTCGATATATAAATAAAAAAAAGAGGATTTTTAATAAATAGATTCACTAAACCAACTTGCAACCTATGACAATTTACTTTTATTCTTAGATTTGTAAGACTTCGAATCATAGATATGATTAGCAATTGTTACTTCGTCTTTGTTTCGTCGTTTTATTAAGTCGATCATTTTCCGATTGATCTAAATAAAAGAAAAAAAAATAATTTACATAAAAAAATACTTACTATTCTTTTTGTTGTTAATATTGCTCTAAACCAGCAAAAAAAATTATTTTATAAATGAGTACTCACTTTTCATTGTGATCTTAAAATCGATCTAAATGAAAGAAACAAATAGTTTACATAAATGCTTACTTTACCTCTTGGAGTTGAGATTACTCTAAATAAAAAAAAAATATTATAACTTCTGTAATAAATACTTACTCTTCATTGTTATGTTGAGAATTATCTAAATTAAAGAAACAAAAATAGTCACCTATATAGATAAATCGATGTGTATTTTGGCAGTGTTTTGACCGCCGGTATACCGCGGTACCTAAGAAAACCTCCGTTACACCACGGTACTTAATAAAACCGCCGGTTTCTTCAAGCACCGCGGTATACCGGCGATAGTTCAGATAAATGTACGACATGGGAGCAGTCGCACTTCATCCCAAACTGTTTCATTACAACGTACATCCATTGATTCATCAGGTAGTCTCGGCTCTTTATATGATATTAATCAAGATCATGTACGACTAGAACGTATAAATATAAATAATGATCAACGGTTATCACAATCATACCGAACAGGACAATGTCATAATTTAACTTTTTTATGGGTAACATTTTGAGTAAGAATTTAATAGCAATTACAGCAGCTTTAAATTTCATTATTATTTATTTGAAATTTTATTTCAAATTAATAAACGATTTATTTATATTTAATTTAATAATAATTTATTTAATAAGTTTATTCAATCTTTTTTTACATCAATATAAGAAATTTAGTCGACGTTTCGACGGATAACCCATCATTTTCAAGACTAGATGTTGAATGATTCATGACCAAAAAAAAATATATATATAATAAAGAAAAAAGAAAAGCGGTCATCTGTTGTACCTCCAATCAGAAATCCTGCAGATACCTCCACCTCGAACGAAGTCAGTGTTATGAGCGCTCATAGCATTGATGCTCCCCCCCCCCCCATCCGCAGCGCAGCGGCCGTTCAGTTTCTCTGGTCCTTGGGCTTTGTTGTTCTTAATCCTTCCCGG